TCTAGTGTGTACCTAATATGGCTAGTACTGATTGCTTATCAATTATTATTATTCATCTTTTTTTTCAAAAAACCAAAAAATCTCCATGAATTTACTTATAAATACCTCTCGAAAACTTTGATTATAAAATTTTAAAATTTTAAAAAAAATGTCAAAAAAAATTAAAATCAAAAAAAAGGAAAAAAGAAGCATTGTAAGTGTTATCAAAACACGATTGTTTTTTTACAAGTTTTTTACAAGCCATTGGTTAATTATTATGAACTGTTTTTTATTTAATTAGATTTTTAAATTCTCATTCATCTTTTTTCAAAAGACCAAAAAATCTTCTCACGAATATACCTTTAAAAATTTAAAAAAAATGCCCGAAGATAGAAATTTGAAAAGAAGAACAATTAAAAAAGAAAAACACGAATCATTGTAAGTGTTATCAGAACACGATTGTTTTTTTACAAGTTTTTTACAAGCCATTGGTTAATTATTTAACTGTTTTTTATTTAATTAGATTTTTAAATTTTCCTTCATCTTTTTTTCAAAAAACCAAAAAATCTTCTCACGAATTTACTTATAAATAATTTTATAATCGAGGTACAAAATTTTAAAAAAATATGTCGGACAGAAACTCGAAAAAAAGAAAAATAAAAAAAAAAAAGAAAGAATCACTGTAAGTGTTATCAGAACACGATTGTTTTTTACAAGTTTTTTACAATCCATTAGCTAATTATTTATGAACTGTTTTTTATTTAATTAGATTTTTAAAACTTCCGCCTGTATTCACGAATATCATAAGAGGGTCACACAGGGTCACAACTTAATGATATTCATGATATTCATGAATAAAAGGCCTAGCTATCAAGCAACCATGAGTTAGAAAATAGTTTGGCTCGTTTAATAGATGCGCAAAATAAGACAAGAAGTTTATCTGTTAATTTTTCTGTTGTGAAAGATATCGACAGATCATTAAGAGAAAACTTCAGACAAACAATACTCGAACATTCGCAATCAATAACTACCTATTAAATTAAACAACATATTATTACCAAATTTGTCGGTAACTTCATACATAGAGATGAAATATTTGAAAAATATTTCATTGCTTTTGGAATTAGTAACATTACACTGCCCGGAAAAAAGTATTTGGACACCTATTTACATTAATTACCCAAAAACATACATAATACCCACACATAAAATTTATATCATTTTATAGCTTAGTTTTTGAAGAATATTCATGTAAAACTTTATTTTTTCAGCTTATGTGAAACTTTAATAAATAAAAAAATACGAACTTCAATTGAAAATTTTTTGAACAAAAAATTGTTTATCAAAGTGCTCAAAAACCCACATAATTATTATGCGTAAAATTTATATTATATTAAACCCTTAGGTTCGGAGAGTATCTATGCAAAACATTACTTTTCTACTATGTTTAGTAGTACCTTATCAAATAAAAGGCTAACGAGATCCAAGTATATTAAATATATCCGACAACTGTTTAATATTTTCTAATCTTTAATCCAATACTTATGTTTATTTTGTCAAAATATTAATTGTTTACGAAGACATGAAGCTCAAAAATATAATGAATATGGGCGAATTGATAGATATCTATCAATTGTTTGCATTTATAATATGGCGAACATAAATTGGGGCAAAAATAACCAAACGGAACATTTAGTATATATATCCTTCAATTGAGTAAAGTAAAATACATGGTGAGAGTAATTTCAAATATTTTTGCATGATAACATAATTTAGGTTTCTATCTTACTGTGAAATTTTAGAAAATGAACTGCTTGTCATAGGAGCGGCTTTTTTTCAATTGAAAACGGCTTTAGGTTAGGTGAAATGTTGGGATATATATCTAACCATTAATTATTTTTAAATGATGATATGTATATATTATTAGGCTTCAACTAAAAAGATTAACCAGAATAAGGTAATTTAATTTATCGTAAAATATTATTTACCACTTCATAATTTTCATAAAAAGCATGCATTATACTTGCGTAAAATTTCATTTGAGTGAGAATTTTCAAAGTCTAAGGCCAGGGCCAGTACTCTTTTCCAGAAAATTATCTCTTATTATTATTATTAATGCTATTACAGCTCTGACCAACCAGATTTTTAACTTTCAACTGGATCTATATATGCATACAAAAATAAACATTAATAAATATATAAATTTTTTTTTTATATTTGTAACAAATGCAAGCTATACTAAATGTATTAGTATTAAACGAGTAATTCGAATAAAACGAATAATAGTAATTCGAATAATTAATAATAATAAATATTCGAATATTGAATATTAATTAAGATACAAATAATTCGAACAAAGATTTGTATTACGGATAGAAATTCTAAGTGGGAATCAGCTTGTCAAGTAATTTTCCCCATCAGCAAAAAAGAGTTTAAAGAAACCCTTTCCTTATGCTTTCCTAGATTATTAAGTAGCACAACATTACTATCATTATCATCATGATTGAAATAGAATTCCTGTTCGTAATGTAACTTTGTCCACAAGCAACAGACTCAATTAAATAATGAATTGCTAATGGGTAATAATTTATTTTTATGGGCCGATTTTACGATGAAGGACTTTATCACTTGCTCGTAGTACTAGTAAAAAAATTACGAAATTAAGGCCAGGGATTCTGGATTTTTGGTTGCTAGAATGTTTACTAGGATAGCTGGCCTTAGTTGCCCAATAAAAAAATTTCGACTTTCTTGCTTTTTATTTTATTTACCTTTACCTATACCTAATATACACATGTTATACACAGGTATATTAAGTATATAAGTTATTATGGGTAATGAACTTTTCCTTAGAACTTTATTTTTACTTGGACAGCAAATACAAAGACAAAAATAAAGAAGGCACGGTGTTACATTTGATATTAATAGTAAAAATATGCACCTCATAACCTCATTCGTATGTGTCAATCTGAAATTTCAAATTATATATTAGCGATTAAATATAAAAAAAAGAGATAACAATAAGAGAATGCGAAATTCTGAAATTTATCTTACAAAATCTTTCGCAACTTCATCAGGAGATAAACGCCAATTATAATAGCGAAAATTACTATTAAAAAAGTGATCATTTATTAACCAACGTATTTTATTGCAACAACTTAGTTGACAATGATAAATCATACCTCATCTGCCCGTTAAAATCTACAGACGAAGGTGTTTCATTGGAATACCCGATTCTTAACTGGTCTCTGTTGAACATAATGCATTGAGTCAAGACTTGCTCAATGCACTTGAATCCGGCCCATTTTCCGTTTATATAGAAGTCCATCCTTTTCAGAGGCTCCGAGAGTGTGTAGCATAGATGGTACCATTTATTTAGAACAATCCCAGGACCAATTGCATCAATCCCTAAATTCCTGCCATCATTTATCGAGAACCTAATATAGGGTTGAGATGTATTAGGGTGTAGCCACAAAGAGGGAGTAGTAATGCCATTAGTTGCACCTAGGGATATGTTATATTTTTTTTGAGGTCAGTTTAGATAATATTTTAAATACAATTTTAAAACTATTCTTTTTGCGGTGCATATACCTTTATGAAAGATAGTAGGATAGCTTGGGTCATGCCTATGAGCATACAATTTCAGAGCTATTGACACTTCATCAATTACAGAGGGCAACTCATCATCTCGGACAGCTCGTTTATTAGCAGGAAAATCCAGGGGACCCGAAAAAATTTCCGTGCACCTCTTCATTTTTGAAAATTCAAATTAGAGTTCAAGAGTTTAAAATATCCCACCTCCACTTATTATATACGATAAAAGAACATTTTGTGAAACTGATTTCACACAACAATTGCTATTATTAGTTATATTAATAGTCGTACGGTTAACTCCCAGTAGCCTTTTATAATTAGCCGTTTTTCCTGGGTCCCCATTTTTTCTCTATTTTTGAAGTTTCCCTTGAAATTCCAATATATTGGATGTAAGAAACTTTATAGTCCATCTATTTGTGCGTACGTGCATATGTAGAATGCGTTCTGAATATCAATCGAAAAATCGAAGGTATAATTTTTAATGTTTTTTAACGTGAGAAAACAACAAAATCAATTCGGTGCAACATCTAATTTCTCTATTTCAGGATAAATTGTGTTTTTAAAGAAATTTTTTTGCTTTTACATAAAATTCAAGAATAAAGGAGTTTACTCTTTACATTCGTGGGTTGTTTGGATATTTATATTGAAATGATAGTTTTATTATTATTTCATTTACAATAATTAAAATTCTTTTTTTTTATATATTAATATGGGACATATAAATCGGGCTTAAATTCTCAGCCCGTTATAGAGCAAGATCAGTTATAAAAAGATCCGTTATTATTATAGAGGGTGGACTATATAATAAATATTCTTAGAGGTAAAGATTTGATGAACTTCTCATTATAAAAATTATGAATCATCAATTAAATTTAAAAAACATTATTCGTGTGAAATTAATATTATTTTTTTTTGCATTAATTATTAGTATTAACATTTTTAGCTGCTTGTTTTTGTGATGTAGATTAAATCTAAATATCCATGATTTGTTGGAAAGAAGGAATACTATCAGCTCCTATATCATTATTTTCAGCATGTTTTTAGAAATTTCAGCATATCTTTTATTACATTTTCATATATTACCAGCTAAGAACATTTCCTTCAATTTTTCAATTACATTTAAATCAAGTCTTTTACCATCACCTTTTCCCCGAACTTTTGTTTACTTTTTAAAGCAAATCCTAATATTAATTTTTCATATAATAAATTTTCTAATTATTTAACACAAAAAAAAAGATTTAACATTTGCCGTGTCACGATCTCCTTCCAAAACCCGCAAGTCGTGCGACTTCCGTGCAGGTTTCTCGCCGATTGTTCCCTTTTGCGTCTAGCCGAGCATGGTCTTGGCGCTATCAACGTTTTCACCATATTTAGCAAAAAAAAATTGTGTCGTACGGCAAATGGTTTGTTTTATAAAACAGGTTGCGATTGCAATTGCGTTGAATTGAATTGCATTGAATTGAATTGCAAAGCAATGCGTTGCAATTGCAATTGAAACCAAAAATCTTTGTTTTTCAAACCTAATTTTTTGGAATGTGAATACCTTTTTTCCACATGATAAGCATTTATCATCGAAGAGAACTGTTTGGTAAGAATAAAAAAGTTTGTTTATTTTACATTTAAGAGCTATTTAATTTCAATAATCGAATTCATTATTGTTTTTTGTTATTTATTTTATCATATATATGCTACTAAGAATAACTTTTTGTGGAGGCGAAGCATCTTTCTTTTTGTTTAATAAGAAAAGCATCATTCTATTATTAAAACCATTTTTACTATTGTTATCATTTGTCCTGGTTTTTTGGATTGTACCATTGATTTGTTTACTTTTTAAGAAAAGTGTTATACGTTTGTTTAGTTTGTTAATTGCCAATTGAATTAATTGATTATTACTATTACTAAAAATGCTAAAAAACATTTTACAATTACGTACCATTGATTTAGAAAAGCATTATTGTTTAATTAATTAATTATTTGTTTCCTACTAAAAATGCTAAAAAACATTTTTTTACTATTATTATCATATGTCCTGTTTTTTTTTTTTGGATCATTGATTTGTTTACTTTTAAAGAAAAGCATTACGCATTTACAATTGAATTTATTATTATTACTAAAAATAAAACGTTGTGTGTTTAATTAAATTGATAATTGGAATTGATTATTTGTTTATTACTAAAATGCTTTGATCACGTCTATACATTCATTTTGCAAAGCTGGATTGCAAGCTTCGTAAATCTTGATTTTAACACTTACTTTGATCAGACTCGCCTATATAATTATTGAATAATTGATAAAACGTTCATTTTGCAAACTCGATTTGCAAGCTCATAGATCTTGTCTAACACTTTCCACTTTCTTTGATCAAACCTGTCTATATGATTATTTAATAATTGATAAAGCATTCATTAAATATATTTTACAAACAGCTTCGCAGATCTCGACTTTAATACTTACTTCGATCAAACCCGCCTATATGATTATTGAATAATTGATAAACGTTTATTTTGCAAGCTTCATAGATCTTGGCTAACACTTACTTTGATCAAACCCGCCTATATGATTATTTAATAATTGATAAAGCGTTCATTAATTATATTTTTACAAACAGTTTCGTAGATCTTGACTTAACACTTACTTTGATCAAACCCGCCTACATAATTATTGAATAATAAAACGTTCATTTTAGAAAACTTGATTCGCAAATAGATCTTGACTTTAGCACTTATTTTGATCGAACCTGTCTATATTTGAATAATTGACAAGACATTCATTAAATATATTTTGCAAACAACTTCACAGATCTTGCCTTTAACACTTGTTTCAATCACACCTATACAAAATATCGAATAATTGATAAAACATCCATTTGCAAACTTCTTGATCTTGTATTTAACACTTACTTTGATTGCGCCTATACAAATTATTGAATAATTGACAAACGTTTCATAAATTTTATTGTGTAATCCTACGTAATCTAAAAAAAAAAAAAAAGAAAAATTCAAAATAATTCAATAGAATAAAATTTGCCCAATGAAATGTTGTAAACTGTATATATCCCGTGCACAACTTGAAAGCTCATTTTTCCATTACTAGTGCTTGTCTCGGGGTAAGACATGCAATGGAGAGCCCATGTGATTCGCTTAAATGTGTTATTAAAGTCCAGCGAGTGAGAGAATGGAACTCTTGCTGGTGGCTCATACTGAGTGTATTGACCATTCGTCACATACCTCTCTCTTTTGTTAATTTTTTAAAAAAAAGGAAAAGAGAGATAAAATTCGTTATTGATTTGATTGGTTACAAAAAATGATATCGCGATTTTCGTTTAATTTCGGATTCTTTTAATTAAAATATTTCTAGATACGCAATCAGTAAAAATAGAAGTCCGAAAACTTTTGTCTGGGGTGTGTACCTACTAATATGGCTAGTACTGATTGCTTATCAATTATTATTATTCATCTTTTTTTCAAATCTTCTCACGAATTTACTTATAAATACCTCTCGAAAACTTTGATTATAAAATTATAAAAATTTTAAAAATGTCAAAAAAACTAAAAATTAAACACATAAAAGAAGAAGAACAGTAAGTGTTATCAGAACACGATTGTTTTTTTACAAGTTTTTTACAAGCCATTAGTTAATTAATTATGAACTGTTTTTTATTTAATTAGACTTCTTAAAATTCATCTTTTTTCAAAAGACCAAAAAATCTTCTCACGAATATACCACTAAAAATTTTAAAAAAATGCCCGAAGATAGAAATTTGAAAAGGAAAATAAAAAAAGAAAAGAAAGAATCACTGTAAGTGTTATCAGAACACGATTGTTTTTTTACAAGTTTTTTACAAGCCATTGGTTAATTATTTATGAACTGTTTTTTATTTAATTAGATTTTTAAATTTCATTCAAATCCAAAAAATCTTCTCACGAATTTACTTATACCGTAAAGTCTGGAAAGATAGAACCTCCCGAAAGATAGTCCCCCTACTTTAAAACAATTGAGCGTCAATATAAAAAAATATTACACATATGTAAAAAGGGGATGTTATCTTTCCAGACTTTACGGTAAATAATTTTATAATCGAGGTATAAAAATTAAAAAAATGTCTAAAAAACTAAAACTAAAACATATAAAAGAAGAATCAGTGTAAGTGTTATCAGAACACGATTGTTTTTTTACAAGTTTTTTACAAGCCATTAGTTAATTAATTATGAACTGTTTTTTATTTAATTAG